AATTGCAATTTTTGTCCCATTGATATCGGTTTCGGACTTTCGGTCCCATTCCAGTGCTATTTTTTATGATGACAAGGATTAAGGGCATTTACGCCTTTTGCACATGAGTGATTTGTCTCTTTTTGAGTTGCAATTTTTGTCCTATTAGTGTAATGCATGAGAAAACGCAATATCAAGGGCATTTATGTCTTGCACAGACAAGAGGGTATTTATCTCTTTTGCACAAATGTGAAATAAAAAGCAAGTCCCTGTCCCTTAAGAATTCGAAAAAACCCTAGAAGATGTTTTTTCTTCTTTTCACAGCTGCTCTTTCCAAATCCGCTAGATATCCGGTCCCAAATCGTCACCCCTTTCTTTATTTTTTCGATAATAGAGTTGGCTATTTCTGTGGCGTCATCTCCCGAAGGCAGCGGCGACGAGGATGAAGCTAGCAGAGGTCGGCGATGCAGGTGGGTGTCGTTCGCAAAGAGAAAGGGCGGTGTTGGAGACCCCGAACAAAACATCGACTCTTTGAAGGAAACGGTGGAAGGAGATGGGGTTGAGGGGATGTAGAAGAAAAAAGAAGCGATGGGAAGCTCTAGATTGGTGGGAAGTGGGGATCATCATGGATCGGTGGATGTTAATTCGTTATTGGTTTAGAGTAACGACGGATATTAATCCCGAAAATATCGATATATTATGAGAAAAAAAGGACCAATAGAGAGTTAAAATTAGCTCTAAAACAATAAAAATTCTTTTAAATACCTGAATATAATTTGTATGCCTTATCAACGTCGCTGAAGAATTATTATAAAATTTTCAGAACGGTAATGATCTCTGTTTGTTATATCTTATAATCTAAACACTATTATAAAGAAGGTTTAAATTACCTATTTTATTTTTGTAATCGTTATTTTATATTGTTAGTTTTTATTGTATTAGCTTAATCTTTTGTAAGACCATCTTCATTTTTTCCCTTATAAATGGAGTAAAAAATTGGAGTAAATAGTGTTTCATCTCCAACCCTATTTCATTTTATATCCCATTTTTTACCCCAAAAAATATATTCCTAGAATATTCTATTTTTATAACTTATATATATTGTCAAATACACCCCTCTACTAATTAAACTCTATATTTATGATTAATTAACATAAATTAATATATAACTTGATATTATAAATATTAAATATTGCATTTAAATTATAATTAATAGATAAAATAAACTAGAAATATATAAAATAAAAATGAGAGGGACTAAATATGTCAACCAAACTTCACCTCAATTTTTGGAGATATGAATAGTATCCCCCCATATATGAGGGAATACTATTCATATCTCCAAAAATGGAGGTGAAAATGAGGTAGGGTTGGAGAAGAATAGCGGAAGAAATGAAGTTTGGGAGTGGATTGGAGATGCCCTAAACATACAATTGATATATTTGGAAATTAAAATAGTATATATTCTTACTCAAATCAAACTATAATTAAAGTAAAATCGTACATATTTTTGAAAATAGAAAAAAAAATAAATTCTTGGAAACAATTTGAGAAGTTTGAATTTATAAGAAAAATGAGAAAAAAATTTAAATTATTAAAATTAATGAGACTTTAATACATTTAATACATTACATATATAAATCCTTTCTAATAAATATCTTACATATTAAATGTGGAATTTTAATTTCATAAAATGAAAATTAAAATAAAATGACAAGTGGAAAATAGAAAATTCAAAAATTCTAGAAAATGACATGTGTCCAAATGAAGGAGAAGAGGACATGTGACAAAAAAAACTTTCATTTATTAAGGAGGATATATATATATATATATATATATATATA